AACCAGGCTGGCGTCACCACGCCCCGCCCACCTCCGCACACACCTTTGCTGCATGCACAACGCGCGCGCGCAATGCCACAATGGGTGAGTTGTTTTGGTCAGCTCCCTGCTTCGATGCAGTGTCAGGATACTAAGTCTTAATTTATTTCTGCTAAATATCTCAATTAGAGGGCTATGACGTCACCACCCGCTGTCACATTTCCTATTAAATATTTATCTTCCAACAACATTTGAATGAAAGTTGGATTAACTGCATTGAAGATTGTTTTAAATAAATATTTAATGTAGCAATTGGTTAATATAATTTTACATCTACATTCTTTCATCCTTGTTCTACAATTCACCACCTGAGTTCTGAGAAAAAAAATTAATTTTAAAAATAATTTATTTAACTGCTATTATTAAATGAATAAGACCTTTTATCATGCAAAAAAAATATTCGTCGATTTAAAAAAATAAATAAATAATCTCCTTTAAATAACTACTTCAGCAAATATTTTCTCTCAATTCTTGAATGTAATTTACAACTTTACTAATTTAATTGAAAAACTACAGAAGAGGATTAGGGCCACTGAATTTTTTTTTTTTTTTAAATGATTTGATTTTTAGATATTATTTCAGTGTAATATGGGAAAAAATTCAGAATTCTGACTTTTTTCTCTGAATTCTGACAATAAAAAAAGTCAGAATTTTTAAAATGAAAGTCAGAATTTTGAGATTAAAGTCAGAATTATGAGATTAAAGGAGAAGTTCGGTTTTTTACACTTTAAGCCCATTTTCTGTAGTGTCCAGGATGAAATCGAATGATCGACACCAAAAGTTTGACAATTGGTCCTGTCTCTGCTTTTTGGCTCATTTAGAATCCACCCCTGGCTGCTTTAGAATGGCTAGCATAGAGCATGTCCGATAATGTCCTTAAAACAACCTTAAACGTTCTTTTTTTTAAATATGCTACTCACCGGGTCGTCAGCGCTGTTCAATGACGTTCCAAAAAAAGTTTCGTAAAGAAAAAACGTTCCTGTAGTGTTTTATTTAGCATTTTGTAAATCCCATTGAGTTCTGTTGGAATAGTCAATATTCCCCTGCCACCGGAAACGGAAATGGAGCCTGTTTACACAGTTGTAGTCTTTTCGCTTCACTCTGTGTACTCCGACGTCGAGGTGCTAACGTCTCTGTTAAACACTTTAAAAAACTCTGAAAATGGAATACGAAAGGTGGATTCTTGATTCTCGACGTCGGAGTACACAGAGTGAAGTGAAAAGACTACAACTGTGTAAACAGGCCCCATTTCCGTTTCCGGTGGCAGCGGAATATTGACTATTCCTACAGAACTCAATGGGATTTACAAAGTGCTAAATAAAACACTACAGGAACGTTTTTTCTTCACGAAACTTTTTTTGGAACGTCATTGAACAGCGCTGACGACCCGGTGAGTAGCATATTTTAAAAAAAGAACGTTTAAGGTTGTTTTAAGGACATTATCGGACATGCTCTATGCAAGCCATTCTAAAGCAGCCAGGGGGGGATTCTGCATGAGCCAAAAAGCAGAGACAGGACCAATTGTCAAACTTTTGGTGTCGATCATTCGATTTCATCCTGGACACTACAGAAAATGGGCTTAAAGTGTAAAAAACCGAACTTCTCCTTTAAAGTCAGAATTTTGAGATTAAAGTCAGAATTCTGAGAAAAAAGTCAGAATTCTTCATTTTCTTCCCATACTAAACTGAAATAAAATTTAAAAATCAGTTAACTTTTCTTTTTTTTTTTCAGTGGCCCTAATCGTCTTCCGTAGAAATCAGTAAAACATTAAATTGGATTAAATACCAAAAGGTTTAGGTTTAATTATTTTCTTAATAATGCACTATTACGATGTGAGTGCATGAAATCTTTAGTTGTTTAAATTTTGGCTGTTTGGGTTGTGCCTTAAAATAGAAAGCCTGAATGACTGATTGGTGAATTGATTGATCTGTGATTAATTGGGTCATCCATCTAAGGAAACAGCCTGTACATACTTTGATTTTTGTCTGACGACTATTACTACATATATTGCCTGTGGAAAATCTGCTTCTGTTAATCCACCATTTATCAAAAATGTATTAGTTTTTTTTTCATACAAACATATATTTACACTATATTTATTTAATAACAGTTAGTTAATGTTCTTCTTATATTGTTTGATTTCACTAAAGTCTCCCAAGTTTTCAGAAACTGTTTTGACCATCAGGGTATCAACACACTGCTGCAATAATAGAGGTTGGAGAGAAACTAAAGCTGTATGAGAACTATTTAGAACACATGTGTCAAACTCAAGGCCCGCGGGCCAGATGTGGCCCGCCACGTCATTTTATGTGGCCCGCTAGAACTCCCACAGCTGTCATTTTGATGGTTCTGAGATTTTAAAGGGAAAGAACTATATTTAAGATTATATTGCTCATGTTAACTGACTTTTCCAGTTTCTATATTTCCTTCATTTTCACTTTTTTTTTTTAATACAATTAAAACGTAAAAAATAAATATGGTTAATTCTACCTCGATCCCCCACAACCGCCATTTTGACGGCTCTATTAGTTGCATTGTAAATTTCGTTGTCTAGCAACCAACATTCTACCTTGAACTTTTTGGCTAATATGAAAAAAGTGGCGTTCAGAAGAAACCTAACAGCGAAACAGGTTTTAGACATGCTTCAAAATATCAATGATAGTGATTCGGGCGGAGAGGGAGAGACCGATGAGGAGGACTGGGTAGGAAGCGGCTGTGTGACACGTGTGTGTTAGAGCAACAAGCAAGCATATGTTTTCTATGCAACTGTAATTGTCACTTGAATAAGTTATAATAAATAATGAGTTATTTAACATTAAGGGGTCGTTACATTTATTTTACATTACATTCAATTACATTTAGTTACATTTATAAGTTACATCTGGCCCTTTAAGAACAGCAATTACGCTGATGTGGCCCTCATTGAAAATTAGTTTGACACCCCTGATTTAGAAGTTTCTTCCTCATTCATAAGAAACCAGCCGGTTGTTTTTTTGAAAGTCCGTCTAACCATTTATTTAAAGGTTCATCAGCTAAAGGTTCATCAGCTAAAGAGAGCAAAGACTTTTTGAAGATAAAAACATTCAAATCTTTTGGTTACTTCATACCACACACCAGCAACAGTTTAATCATAGAAGTGGAACATTTTGAGCTAAAAATGATCAGGGCAGTGGAGAGGCTGTTTCCGGAAGACTTAATGGTGACTCATTTTGTTTTTGCTAGTGGTCATGATGGTGAGTGTTTACCAAAAAATATTAAATGAGGGAAGTGAAAAAAAGTGATCTAATTTCTGATGTCATATTCTCTCTTTGCATTAATCGGAGTCAGTAGAGGGAAGTCCTGGAGTCTGCATTCACCTAGAGGCAGCAGAAAGCTCCGCTCCACCAACACTCATCCCCTCAGTTCACCCAGAACAAAGCTGGAGATGATGAGGGACAGAGCTTTTAAGGCTGCAGCACCACGGATGTGGAATTCCCTCCCAGCCTACCTCAGAGCTCCTTAAATCCTTGGAATAAAAACCTTTTAATTTAAAAAAGCCTACCAATAAGCTTTTATTAGGATCTTATCTTGTTTTATTGTTGTTCCATTGAAATTGTTCTTGACATGGTGTGTGCTCTTCTCTGTTTTGACTTTTCCTTAATAGTATTTTGAGATCTGTTAGTGCTTTATAAATTAAATGGATTATTATTATTTTTCTTATTATTATTTTTATTGTCTCTGCTGAGACTGCTGCCCTGTGACCTGTTCCTGGATAAAGCAGAAGATGACGAGTGCGAGCAGTATTAAACTATATTTCTTTTATTAAGCAATTCTATAATTATTTTATCTTACTGCACATCTTCCAGCTTATATAACTTGTGATCTTGTATTAATTTAAGGATTCTTTCAAAATGTATACATTATTATCATTTTCACTAAATGCTCCATAGAAGTAATCAGAATAAATTACCTAATCAGCTTTCCTTTCAGTACTGCCCTCAAGCCCACTTCCTGGATTTTGATGATGCAGGTATGACGACAACTTTTAGGTCAGGCATGGCAGGGAAATACAGCTTCCTGCCTGTCCCTGCCCATGTGAGCTCACTCCCTGTGGATTTTCCACCGTAGATCCAAGCCACACTGGCAAGGGATCCTACTGAAGGAAAAGAACATGAAGGCTGGGTCCGGCTCAGCGTACGGTCACAGGCTCAGGAAGGGAGTTGTGTCGAGGACACATTGTGCAGGGACACAATGGAAGAAAGTTACAGGACAGGAAATGATAAAATGGGCCACTCTCCTCCACCCCTTCAGTATGGAGAGGTAGAGGAGACATTTAACAGAGAGTCAAATACAAACACAACGGCACGCTTCTAAAACCTTCTCAAAGATAAGCATTTGCCCATATATATATATATATATATATATATATATATATATATATATATATATATATATATATATATATATATATATATATATATATATATATATAAGTTTACTGTAGACCCTGACCAGTTTATAAAAGTGTATGATGCAATTCAACTATAGAAATCTCCTTATATCCTCCACTGTACCTGACTTGATCAATTGATTGACTTTATTGATCTCACAATAACAATAACTGTTTTTCTATATTTATCCTTTTTTTAACACCAACTTCAGACTCCTGTTTCTGAAGACCTCATGTCTTAGTCACATCCAAGCAAAGCCCAGAGTTTATCTTAAAGGCACACTATGCAACATTTTTCAGTTAATTAATGTGTTCCATAACGTTTTGGATGATTAAATGAGTCATTTCAGGTTGAACAAAGGTTTTCTCGGCCACCCTGGTGGTCTGTAGGGGAAATACCGTACTTGCAATTGCAGGAGCCCTCGGCCCGCACCCACAGGCTCAGAAGTCTCGTGCATCGCGAGAGTTGGTCTTGCTTTACGGCGAGAACTGCTACACGCTCCCAGTTAAAAGCATGCTCGTTGCTAGCACA